TTTAAATTTAACCAGAGAGGGACTGAGTGAGAGAGAGGGAAAGTGAGAAAGCAAACCGCCGGGCCCAGGACTTGAACTGTGGTTGACCGTTGGGAGTCTAGTACCCTTAACCACCACGCCACTTGCCGCCCCCTCTCCCCTGTGTGTTTTAAGCCACTGGTTCTGGGACTCAAACCCCAGTTGACTACATGGGAGTCCAGCAACACGTAATCATTGTGCCTTCTGCTGGTCCTGAGCGTGAAGAATTCTATAGGACAAATGACATGGAATTTTTTTTTTCAAGTTTTTTTTTGGCCATTGGGTTTGTGTGCTCTCCAGAGAGAGGGAAAATAAGAAAACTTCCCCCAGGGGGCATGGCCACGCTGCAGTCCCTTTTCCCCCATTTTCCGCTTGGGATTTGGGGCACATGCACTCACACCCGGTGTGATTTTCAAGCCACCAGATGTGGAACTCAAACCAGTCAGCCATGGGGAATCCAGGCCTAAACCACCATACCACCTGCTGGCCCCAGTGATGTAGCATTTTAAGCAAATAAATGGGAAAAATCTGCAGATTGGTGAGGTTGTGGAGAAATGAAAACCCTGTTGGTGGAAGTATAAAATGGTCCTGCCACCATGGAAGACAGTATGGTGGGTCCTCAGAAAATTAAAAATAGAATTATCATATGATCCAGCAATTCTACTTTTGGGTATGAATCTGTCTGGTCAGATTGGTTGCTATAACAAAATATTGTTGACTACATGGCTTAATTAACAGATACTCATTTCTCACCATTCTGGAGGCCAGAAAGCCCCAAATAAAGGTACTAGCAAGGTCCCTGGAGAGGGCTCTCTTACTGGCTTGCAGATGACCACTTTCTTGCTGTGTCCTCACATGACACAAAGAGAGAACACCTCTTTTCTTCTTCTAAGTATACTAATTCCCTCATGGTGGGGGAACCCTGCCCTCATTATCTCATCTAAGCCTACTTACCTTCAAAAAGTTGCACTATTGGGATCAGCAGTTGGCACAATGGCTATGTCACTGGACTCTCATGTAGTCAACCGCAGTTTGAGTCCTGGACCCGGTGGCTTAAACTCACACCCGGTGGTTGTGCATGTTTGTCCAAGATCCCAAGAGGAGAATGGAGGAGAAGGGATTGCAGTGTGGCCATCCCCCTTGGGGGGGGGGGATTTCTCGTTTTCTACCTCTCTGTCTTTCTGGCGAGCACACATGCCCTATAGCAAAAATATCTCCCACTCAAAAAAAATGTTGCACTCTTATTACTTCAGGGTTTAGGGGTTCAACATGAATTTTGTGAGGACACATTTAATCCATAACAATATCCAAAGGAACCGAAGCAGGATCTTGAAGAGAAATTACTGATATACACTCATGTTCATAGCATTATTCACAATGGCCAAAAGATGGAAGCAGCCCAAGTGACCACCCATTGATGGATAAACAAAATGTGGTACACACAATGGACTGTTACTCAGGTTGAAAAAGGAAAATTGTGATGCAAGCTGCAACATGAATGAACCTTGAATACAATATACTAAGTGAAATAAGCCTGTTGTAAAAAGACAAATAGTGTATAATTCCACATACACAAGATACCAGGAGTGGTCATAGTCATAGGAAGTAGAATGATGGTTTTCAGGTACTGGAGAATAGAGAAATGAGTTATTGTTTAATGTGTACAGAGTTTAAGCTTTAGCTTTTTTTTTTTTTAAGAATTATTTTATTTAACTTCATTTATTTTAATTTGGCCAGAGAAGGACAGAGAGCTAGAGAAAGTGAAAAGCAAAGGTCTGGGATTTGAACTGTGGTAGTCGGCCATGTGAGAGTCCAGTGCCCTTAACCACCATACCACCTGCCAGCCTTGAGTGTTTCATTTTTTAATTTGTCGGAGGCTGTGTGTGCTCACTGTAGAGAGGAACAGAGAGAAGAAAAGAAAGTCCACCCACACCTTGGGAAATGGTCACACCACAATCTCTTTGACCTCTTCCTCTGGGATTTTGGAGCATGTGTGTACACGTGCCTGGTATGTTTTTCAAGCCACCAGGTACAAGACTCCAAAGTATTGGTCATCCATGTGGGATCCAAGTGTCTTAACCATCAGGCCATGGGCTGGCCCAAGTTTAAATTTTGCAAGAAGAAAAAGTTCTAGAGATTGGTTGAACAAGATGAATGTAGTTAACAGTACTGAACTGCACACTAAAAAATGGCTATAGTTCAGCTACAGTGGTTCTGGGCAGGTTGAGCACTGCTACACAGGGCTGGGACCACATGGGTTGTCTGGGTTCAGATCCTGGACCAACTAAACAGGCCAAGTGTGGTGGCGTGTGCCTGTAATCCTAGTGAATTTGGAGGCTGTAATAAAGGATCACAAGGGCAAGATCCATCAAAAGTTTCTATTTTTCAGGACCAGCAGTTGGCGTAATGGCTGTTGCTGGACTCCCACGTAGTTGACCACAGTTTGAGTCCCGGATCTGGTGGCTTAAACTCATGCCAGGTGCGCGTGCGTCTGTGCCCAAGATCCTGAGAGGAGAATGGAGAATGGAGAAGGGATTGTGATGTGGCCATCCTCCTGGGGAGTGATTTCTTCCTTTCTGTCTCTCTTTCTGGCAAGCGTACTTGCCCTATAGTTAAAAAAAAAAAAAATAAATTCTGTTTTCCAGGACCAGCACATAATGGTTACATCGCCCGACTCCCATGTAGTTGACTGCGGGTTGAGTCCTGGACCTGTCAGCTTAAAACTCATGTGTGTGCATGTGTACCTAAAATCCTGAGAAGAGAATGGAAGAGAAGGGACTGTGGTGTGCACATTACCCCTGGGGAGTGATTTCTAGCTTTCCATCTCTCTGG